TAACAATATTTTAATCTTCAAAGGAGGGAGCTAAAGTGACAATTCTCTACAAGAAAACTTCAAAGGGAAAAGAAAAGCTGGTGTACAGGTAGGAGGAGAGCCTGAAACCCTAGATTGTTTAATGGAAAGCAACTCAAGTTCCATTTTTTGTTGGAGGGCAGAAGAGGAGTTTGCAGGGGTCCAGGCTTCCAACTGTCAGCTACCCTCAGGACAAATGATTGCTGCCAAGCACAGGCCCCACAACTGATTCTCTTTTGTAGCCTGATCACTGCAAGAGAAAAACTACTAGCCGAGTTTTCCCTGCTCCTTGCTATATATAATAAAGTTGTGACCACATAAGCTCCCAATGCTCCTTGGAAGGCTAGCGGTGAGCTCCCCACTACAGAAAAGAAACTGGAGTGCATCAGTAACGATCCTCCGCTCTCTTATCACCTCCATGTAGACCTTCAAATCAAGCATGATAGAAAAATGGCATACATGGAAGGAATTAGGCTTAGAAGCATCCCTAGGAATCCCTGTACTTCTCTCCATCCTCTTCTAATTAACTTGAAATTGCTACTTTGAAAATTCTCACTCATGTCTGAAAACACTTTATACTAATGAAGACAGGGAAAAGAGGTTTTACAGTAACAACCATTTTAATCCATGTTAACCAGTGATATTTAAAGTTAAAGCTGGTGGTAGTATTTCTGACAGACCAAGGCAAAGCTGTGTTAATAACAGGCACATTTGTTTTGTTTATAGGACTTATTTCATGCAGAGTATGATTCAGAAAAAAATGCAGGGTGAATGCAAGCAATCACAAGAGGCCATTCATCATTCTGCCTACGTTTTTTTTTATCAATATATCCACAAAACTGCAACTGTGCTCATTCCACGAGAGAGAAGTTCATGGCAGAGGGATTAAAACAGACAACCTTTATCATCGTTCCCCAGCTGTCAGTCAGCCTTTTTTATCTGCCAGCATGTGTAGACAATACCAGCTCCATTGACAATGCCACTCCTTTAGTGGCATGGATTGAAACGATGACAACGTTAAGCGGCCACCGCAAAAAGACACAGGATTACATAAATCCAGGAAGCTGAAGTAGTTAACTGGCTCTTTCTCACACACCCACAGCAATCTACTTTGGTTCCGTTGGTATACTAGTAATTAAAAAGCTAATTGCTATTGTATTTCGGAACGCAAGAAACCGTAAGAATAAAGTCATGAGAAATGCAGCTTGCTGAAGTGAGAACGGTGACGTTCTCTGTTCTCATCAATAGTTCCCTGCAGTATAAGCCAGCTATCACCTTGTGAACGTTTACGCAAATACTTGTCTTTTGGGTTTGTGTGGTGGGGCTTTGGTAGCGGTGGAGGGGCCGCAGGGCCGGCTCCTGTCAGAAGCTGCTCGAAGCTTCCCGGGCTCCGAGTCGGCCCCGCCGCTGGCCAAGGCCGAGCCCCTCAGCGATGGCGGTAGCGCCTCTGAGGGAACGGATTTGAGAGGAAACCTGCAGCAGGGAGGGGGGCACTGGAACGTGAGAGGAACCCCTGCGCAGATACGAAGATCAGTGAAGGAGGAGGGGAAGGAGGTGCGCCGGAGGAGGGGATGCCCCCGCAGCCCGCGGTGAGGCGGCAGGCTGTCCCCCCCCCAGCCCGTGGGGGGGAGCGGGGGAGCAGAGGTCCCCCAAGATGGCCGGGACTCTGTGGGAAAGCCCGCGCTGGCGCAGGGGCCGAGTGAGGCGCCCTCCCCCTGAGGAGGAAGGAGCGGCGGAGACAAGGGGTGAGGAACCGACCCCGTCCGCCGCCGGGGGGAGGAGGGGGAGAGAAGCGGGAGCAGGGCTGAGGCGGGAAGGCGGGAGGGCCGGGGGGAAGGTGTTCTCAGGCTGGGTTTTACTTCTCATTATCCTTGGTTTGATTCGATTGGTAGTAAATTAAATTGAGTTTGTTTCTTCCCCAAGTTGAGCCTGTCTTCTGCCCGTGACCGTAAGTGGGGAGTGATCCCTCTCAGTCCTTATCGCGACCCCCGAGCCCGCCTTTATATTTTCTCCTCATCCCGCCGCGGGAGGGTGGGGGCAGCAGGCTGCGTGGTGCTTTGTTACCTGCTGGGCTTAAACCACGACAATATGTCGCAGGAGTAATTAGCTGATCAGAAATACAGGTGATACCCGCTTCCCCTTTCTCTGAGATTCCAGACAGGATTCGAGGTTTAAACCTCAAAAACCACTATTATTCTATTTATTTCAATGAAATCTCTTCTGGCTGATGTTCATGAGATAAAGGCCCTTGGGCCAAAATTTTCTGTCTCACAATTGAATTCCTCCCTAGTTCCATAGAGTGTTTCAGGTACATAAACCCAAGCTGAACTTACCTTTTTGTTTGAAAACACTATCACTGGTGAAAATGCTGGGCAACCTAGAATTTTACAGAAATACAAGTAACGGAGTAATCCAAATGTCAATGTTTCAGTGAAAGAAGACTTACAACTTTGTGAGTAGCAGAACCACTTGAACACAAGCCCAACATCTACCTACAACTGTGCAACGTTATCATTGCTGTCTGCTGCCAGTGTTGCCTGCCCCCTGATCATACAGCTAAACAGAGGAACGCTTGAACAAGCTAAAAACCACTCTGGAGTGAGCTGGTATCAGCACTGCTTCCGCTAGGCTACGCAGAGAAACAAGAAGTGGGTCCTGAGCTACAAAGGGTGATGACACTATTAAGAGCTTGTAATGCAGAAGGGGTATTTACACTGATGTTACTGAGAGCTTAAAATGCACACAGGGTATTCAGTGTGAGTTGGTAGGTGTAGTACAGCACATGTGCAGAGGCAGAGAGGAACCCCCAAGTAACTCATGGTTTTATATAGTCCTCTGGAAAAGGAACCCTTGACAGCTTTTGAAAATAGCTGACAGACCACTTAGGGAAGAAAGGAGATTCACAGAAGACTCTATTTCTGTAGGGAAAAAGGAATGCATACCAAAAAGTGGGAGATTTCAAAGTACTGCTTAGGGGAGAGGAAAGAAAAAGCCCAGAAATTCAAAACAGAAAACAATGACCTAGCAACACGGCAGGATCTGTGTTTGATAGGGAATATGAAAGAATTGTTCTTACATCAGCAGGCATTCAGAGCATGCCACATAAGGAGATGATGAAGTTGGAGGACACTGCTGGTATGCCTTTCCACAGGATTATGCAAGCATTGCTGTTGCCTGCACTGTATGTATAACTTTATCAAAATGTATTTTGAAAGTTGTAATGAGAAAGAAGGTATGGAAAAAATCACCTTTCATAGCAGGCTATTTCTATTCACATTGAACGCACATTTTATAATCCACTTGTAGTCTTTTACTCACAAATTTATTTCATCATGAGAAAACCTATCAGCTGCAGCATAGTTAAGGAGGTCACCATTATCCACCCTAATATATAGAGATCATACACAAGAATTGCTTGAAGCAGCAGTTAGTGTTAGTAGCATTGATTAAGCCAGTTGTCAGTTACAGGCAGACACACAAAAAAGCAGGGGTAATCTTGCACTCGTTATGGAAGGAAAACTTCCACCTTCCAAGTGCTTTTTATGGTGGGGAAAAAAGAAACTGAAAGTCAGTTGTTTAGGTTTTTTAATTTTTTTTTAAATGAAGTGTTGCTGAAAATCATTAGCTGAACAAGGACTGCATTTTCTAGTTACAATTTAAAGTAAGATAAAGAAAATACAAATAATGATATAAATAATATCAAGCAACAGCCTTTGCAGAAATTGCTTAAGGCAATGGCTCTAACTTACACTACAAATTCTACTTCTGTATCTACATATACAAATTTGTACATTCCATAAACACAGCATCAGTTGAATTTTAGTCCACTGATGCACTAGTCAGTATGGGATACCTCAGATTTTACTGTGTATTAGAAGCTTCTGTTTTCTCATACAAATTCATACCAGAGTCATACAAGAAATTCAGTTATTGACATAACTTGGAGAAATTCACGCTCAGTGGCACTAACAGCAGGACACTCACAAGCTGGTGTTTTGCCTTGCTTACCTACAACAGGGATTACTACATCAGATGATCCTCTGCCACTCATGCTGTAACTCTTAAGCATAATAAGAAAGACTAGGGTTCTTATTTCAGCTTTTCCTCTGATTTCTCTGCATTTTTAGACTAGTCTGAAACACTTGGTCCTTATATTAACAGTAATTTTATAGCTAATTATAAAGATTATAATTTCTTGGGAAGTAGCAAATGGAGCTATGATGCCAAATCTTCTCCATCTCCTCATGGGATGCCAGGAAGAACTAGATTCATTATTGATGTAGATTAATCCTCACCCTAAAATGTAAAAGGGAAAAAACGGAAAAACAAGTCAGTCACAGGCACTTGCACAAAGGTAGTCAGGTTTCAGCTGTCAAGATAGAGAAAAGCTTTTTGAAATTTATCTAATACATTAAAAAACCAAACACCTCTGATATAATAGTCTTTTGAAAAGCACTTAATAGAATACAGATTCTTTGACAAACACTTATTATCATCAGATTATGAAAGCAGACTGATTATTTTTTTTTTTTACATATAATTACAAAATGTTCTCAGTTAAATGACAAGCCGATTAAATGTATCCACTTCATTTTTCAGGATTCTATGCACAAAGCATATATACAGCATATAAAAAGACAAGACTTATTGCACTTTTTTCTTAGGAAGTTTCCACTTTCTGGTAAATCCTTGGGTTACATTCTCCAAAAGGATTAGTGTAACTGTGCAGTTCTTACTCCATCAGCATCGAGTTCAGTCTTATTACACCTTACTGTAACAGAGTTCTAGCGTTGTCAAATACTACGGACAGCATTTTTTAAAGACTGTGGATAGTTTCCAAGAGATACCCACCTTTAGCTGGGCAAATGGTTCTAGCTGACCATTAGATTTCCATGGCAAGTGGGAAAATGAAGCATTTCCAGGCTTATTTCCTTTCTTCAATGTTTGTGAGAGAGAACCAGCTGCACACACTCACTGCAGGAGAAATGGGTGGAAGGCTGTACCCATCTTACACAAAGGGAGGATAAGACTAAACCATCCTCCATTATTTAGGGTACTATATAAGACTCCTAGTCAGAGGACCTGGTTGTATTACTTCTAGGAGCCACCTCAACATGGATGAAGACTGTAAGCATTAGAGTATCATATGAGCATGAACCACAAACGTTTCTGTTAGTTTTCAAGAGGAACTGCTAAACTTCAAACTCCAAAATAAAGGACTCCCGGAGATCCATCTAAGCTCAGAACATTTATACTATAGCACGATCTGCCATGTGACAGAAGCCACGAACTTTATCTAATTAATGATTGTTGCTGGGAATCCTACATTTCATAATCAACTACAGCATCTAGAGCAGGTTGGAAAGTTGCCAGTTAGAGCCTCTATGTGTCACATGTATTTTGGCTTGCAGGACAAACAAGGAAACCGTTTAAAATTACGTAGGCTGTAACATGCCTCCTATCCCATCTGCATGAAGCACAAAAAACCTGTCAGAACATGGATGCCACTCTTTCTGCCACAGAGCTGGGCCCAGGCTTGCCAAACACAATCCTGTAATGCCAAATGCTGGCTAAGCCAAGAAGCAGGAGCCACTGTGATGGGGAATAGATGAAAACTGTTGCTCATCACAATGAGAAATTCCAACTCTCCATTTCCTCCATAAAAGAAAACTTCTGAGAAGTTTCTTGTTTGGAATCACAGAAAGTGAAACAAAGGAGCGGAGGGAAGAGAACAAGTGGAGTATTTCTGGTGAGATCAGAGCTGCGTTTGTCACATTACCTAGAGCTGAGTGAAGCTGTTCTGGTCACACATACCATAACTCCTCTGCATGGTTCCTACATCCCTGATTCAGAAACACACTTAAGTATACACATAACATTTGAAATATATGTTTAATAACAATACATAGTTTGCATTTGAAACTAGAGTGTGTAAATCTAATTCTAACTAAAAATAATATATTGCACTTCTGGCATGATCATGTTACAAAATCCAACTGCAAGGTTCACAGAGTATAGTTCTGGACATCTGGCCTAATTTTTCTTTCCTCCAGAGAATCCAGAAAAAGAAAAGGCAAGCATTTAGCATAGACAAAAATCCCCAAACTTATGGGTTGGCTTTGTTGCTATCTTTCAGCACAAACTGCAGTTCAGAGCTTAAAATACAGAGAGGGGACGACGACAGACCCCTCATATCCTCCCCATCTCTGTTTCAGTGTTACTTAACCTTTCATAATAGTTTTCCATGTCTATGCAACACTTCTAGCAATTGCTAACTAAGTACATGTGTGGAGGGTCTAGAGAATAAACTTAAAACCCTGCCTTAAGGATTAATATACGAGTGCTCAGAATGGAATTCTGAAAGCAACCGTGCTGTACACTGAAATATGGCACTTTGTTATTTTCAGTGCTTTTGACTAATCCTGAATTGAGATAATGCTACAGACCCAATTAATTCAATAAAAAGGCAACATTCAGTCTAGCAAAGTCATTCATTATAATATTTATTCTATGAAATGAAGAAAAAACATAAGATTAAAAAATATTCCATGCATTTTATAAAATACAGAGAAAGACATTGTCACAAACGAAACAGAGAATAAGCAAGCAAAACCCCCGCTGAAAATCCCAAGAGCTCCACTCTCCACATTGCATCATATAAATGCAAAAAGCATATACAGGAGAAAGAGCAGTCTAAGGAAAGCAGCAGGTTATCTGTCAATATCTGGGATGGGTCAGTCAGCCTGCAAGACTTTTGCCATCACCTCTCTGATCATAAAACCAAACTGATGCAACTTGTTTTCCTTGCTACCAGTTCTTGGCATTATCTTTAGCTGGGAAACCAGGATAGCACAGCAGTATTCCTATTAAGTTGCAGTCCAGAAATATACTAGGGGCAAAGGGTAGGTAGATGCAGAAAGACAGATAGCAGGGCACAGGGGGTGGGATGAGGTGGCAGTTGTTCCACTGCTCGAAGCAAGGTGGAGGGAGATGCTTTGACTATCTTACTGGGAGCGTGGGGGGTGGGAAATGCATCCTGCAAAAGAAGTATGGGCAGAAGCAGGGAATATATCTCGTAGGTCTCTTAAAGAGTCCCAATAACATAAAAGACATGCTGCATTATAAAAGGATGCCGAGAGCAACATCTTTATTTATGTTACAAATTACATTACTATAAACCTTCTTACTGAAAGCTTTTGATCCAGTTCCTTCTCCTCAACCTATAGTACTCCATTTGGCTTTAGCAAAGCTCTTACAAGATCCTCCTCTTTCTTTTATTTTACAGAACCTCTCAGACTCCCACAACGGTTACCAGCCACATAACTACTGACCACAAACCCACTCTAATTCTGGGCTCTGACACAAAAGCAGCCCCCATCTCTTATTGGGAATGCCCAAAAGCTGCCATAGCTGTATTTGGGGAGGGTGGCGTAGAGAAAGGAAGAACAAGGCTCCGCTTACACAAACACCTATTACCCCAAAAGCCCCACTCCATGCAGGCTTAGGAACACCACAATCAAAGAGTTTCATGTGGGGAGGAGCAAAGAGAAGACAGCGGACTGGGATCCTTCCCCCTGCATCTGGGGATGCATCCACTTCTCTCACAACAGCGTTCTTCTGCTAGCTACCAAGCTATCTCTGCTGCAGTGCGGAAGGTTCTGCATTGGCCTCCTGTGAATGATGCACCATGGGGGAAGATTGTTACAGTTACAAATGTGATTTTCATGTTGTTTCTTAAAAACATAAAGCTAGGAATTCTTATTTTTTAAAAATTTACAGCTGAGTGTAATTTAACCTGTAGCACGAAATATTACAAAATTAGAAGATGCAAGATACAGAATTGCCCATGCTACACCTTAACTCTTTGCATGTACATATCAGGAATATGACTTTATATCATGTGATCTTTTCACCTTTCAATCCCCAAAAGAACCTTATTTCATTCCCTGGGCAAGCAGTATGAGGCAGAAAGAATACTCCATAGGAGATCCCAAGTCCAGCATTTCTCACTTTTCAGTGCTTGCAGCTAAAATGTTTTCTTGATGGAGTTTTTAAAAATTTAATTATGTTTTATGTGCTCTATTTACCTTGCATTAGGAAAACAGAAAACACTGTAAAAGAGTACGGTCTCAGGTCTTCACAGGTCTCCACAGGCCTTGCTGAAACACAAAGATTGAGTCTTCTTTTAAAGTAACTGCCCAGCTTCCTAGCTGGTGTAATTTCTGTGTTGTCCATGTAAACATTACACAGAGTCTTTGTACCACCCACTAAGCTCTTTGCTTCAATCAACTATTTGTGCCCAAAAGCACATCCTTATGTTTCTTCCCACACCGCAGCCATCCTCCTACACCACAAAAGATGTACAAAATAGGAATTAATCATAGGCTGGATACTTACAAGGATTGCTGCTGTTTGCTTCTGTCTTCCCAGCCTTGACAAGTTTGGTTGAGTTCTGCTGTGCTTTGCCTTGCTCCTCTCCAGTTAGCAGGGCTTTTATTTCAGAGGGGATTTTCCCTTGGTCCATCGCCATGCACCACTGCTTGTACTGAAATATGCAAACACATTACGCATTAGCAAACTGCCAGGATCACATTAGCAGACAAAACAGAGCTGTAATCTTTACCTTCCGGTACATTCATTTACAGTTTGAATTTACTGGGTTGAAGCCTCTTACAAAACTGCAGAGCACTAATGAGCTAAGCACGTGTCCATGGTTGCATACCTGGCCTCAGTAAATCCTGTTTCAGTCAATAAACTGCTACTCAGTGGCAGTACTAGACACAATACTGTAATTATTAAACAACATGGAACATTTTGTGCGTTTTCTCGCTGCTGGCACGCCAGAATACCGTTCCAGTTCATGGCCTATTAAAAACAAATATTTCACATGACTCTCGGGCTGATTGACTATTAAGAGGTCCTTTTTGATTGTGCAAGGCACGGTTACAGCACACGTGCCTTATTCCTAGTTCCCCCATCTTAAATCCATCATTGGGAAACCCTGAAGCACACTGAAAAACCTGTGGTCAGTTGGCTGACTTTCCACCCAACCCTAACCCTATTCAGTTGTGGTGATTAGCCCTGCCTATTCAAACAAACCTAAGGCACAGTCAAGGCAATATCCTCAGCTCCAGTGAAATCTCAATGGCATCTCAGTATCACTGAAGAGCTGAATCTGTATTTCCAGATGAAACATTCTCTTCGGTTAATGCAGCTTATTTGGCCAAGACACCCATCTTACATGTGCTGGAACACAGGACAGCTGTGCAACCGTCTACACAGAAAGTATGCTGCAAGAACCAACCTCCCCAACAGAGACAAAGGTCTGTGGGAAGCAATGACGCACTGTGGATATATGTTCCCCCTTGATACTTTAACACATTTCTTTCCACCCTCTACCTCTTTCTACCTCTGTCAGAGGTTTTCCAAAACAAACATTTCAAAGACAACAGACTGGTATGTAATAGCACTTTCTTTGCTTGCTTCCAGTTCAAAACCAGCAGATAACTTGTGACATGAGGTTCATATTCAACACACAAAGTAGGCAAACAGCTGAATGCATCTGTTACTGATGTTTTGATACCTTACGGCAATCCAAAATCCCACGCTCAGTCACAGTGATTTCAAGAACAAATGTCCACGAGGACAGGTCCCAAATAATATTGAGGGTTAGGTTAAATGATAGTTTCTTACCATTTCAAGCTCTTCTCTGAGAGCACAGATGGCTCGCTCTCTGCTTGAAACCAGCTCTTCCAGGTACTGGTACCTCAGCTTCTTCCTGGCTCTGCACTCTCTTGCACTCTGACGACTTCTTTCAAGTTTTGCCTTCAAGTCTATTTTGGCTGGTTTACGACCTCGCTTGCCTGGTTTCTTTACCTTGCCTCCAACCACCTGGAAAGGAAGGATACAGTAAAGATCCTGTTCTGCAAAGGTAATGCTGTATCCATGTCATTCTGCCTACTAGGTGTCTCAAGTAGAAAATCTTGCATCTACTTTCATTGATTCTGGAGCAACAGAGGAAAGGGGGCTGATGTACGAAGTTTTCAGTGATGGCATCAAAACCAAAAGGGAGGGCTATGACTTCACAGTGAAGTCAGTGCTTAAGCAGTCCTATAGTAAACACTACTAATCTGATTTGGAGGAGCTCCACAGAATGGTTGAGGTTGGCAGCGACCTCTGGAGGTCATCTGGTCCAACCCTCCCTGCTCAAGCAGGGCCACCTAGAGCAGCCCAGGACCATGTCCAGATGGCTTTTTAATATCTCCAAGGAGGGAGACTCCACAAGCCCTCTGGGGAACCTCTGCCAGTGCTCAGTCACCCTCACAGTAAAAAAGCATTTCCTGATGTTCAGATGGGCCCTCCTGTGTTCAGTTTCTACCCACTGCCTCTGGTCCTGGCACTGGATACCACTGAAGAGAGCCTGTCTCCATCTTCTTTACACCCTCCCCTTCAGGTATTTGTACACACTAATGACATCCCCTGAGCCTTCTCATCTCCAGGCTAGATGGTCCCAGCCTTCTCAGCCTTTCTTCATAGGAGAAATGCTCCAGTTCCTTCATCATCTTAGTGGCCCTTTGCTGGACTCTCTCCAGTGGCTCCATTTGTCTCTTGTACTGGGGAGCCCAGAACCAGACACAGTACTTCAGATATCTAGGAGGATATCTGGGACATTGAGGAGACAGACATGATAGTCAACTTGTAGTGAAACTGTTTTAATATTACCAAAACCCCCTGCCCTAATACTTGCCAGCCCTAGAAATATTATGTTATGGAGTTTAACACTTTAATTTGGAAGAAAAAAATATTTATTTGTATCAATGTAATCCAAAACCTAGGTTTGCTGCAATGAAATGACCACAGTTTCAGCCAACTCTAAAGATCAAACTTGTGGGAATTATTCACTAGCTATCTGTGATTCCTCAGTCCCAATTTCTTTCAAAGGAATCTTCTGAGGATTTTTACTAAACAGGGGACTCGGTTACACCAAGTCCTACCTCTGCTGCCTCTATTCCAGTTGTATCTAACCACCCTGGCCATGTTTACCTTCAAAACATTATTACACAGCCTGGAAAATTCTCGTCGCACCTCCTCATGCAACCTATCACAGTGTTAACTCTCCCAGTGCCTAATTTCGATCTCCCTTCCAGAAATGTGACCCCCTAGTTTCTTGTCCTATGGAATGCTGATTTTGCAATCATTTTTCCCTCTTTTTTTGTGGCTCCTTTTTTATAGGTCTGCAAGCTTCTCTTGCTACCAATAAAAAAAAAAAAAAAAGGAATAGCTTCCTCAATGTTTACTCTATGCTTCCCCACCCAAATATTTCACTCTTAACATAAAAGCATAGCACAAGAAAGTCTTAAGTATGGTCTGAAACTTAGTACACTGGCCATTGGGTAGTATCGCCCTGTAAGCATTACGTCAGCCACACACCCCACCTCCCCTCTGAAGTGAGGATTTCTCTTTATCTGCATTCTGACCACACTGTTTAAATGGAAGGGGTGTGGAGAAACACACCTAAAAGGCACACCTATATACAAGAATTTCACTGCTGGCTGAGGTGTTTCACCATACTGTATACAGACAGGACTTTTTCTAATAGGCAGTGTTCAAAATACCAGAGTTCATTAAAAAAGGCATTTTACTGTGTGATGCTACAAAATAAGGTGGCTTTGACATTCAAAGAAGTCACTTGTTCTACAAACTCAGCAGGCTGCAATAAAAACAATAACATAATGAATTTATGTGCTAGAATGAAGAAAAAAAAGGATTATACAATTGAGCCTATTCTTTCTTTGGAACGTGAGTCAACAATCACATGCCAACATAATCCTACCCTCTCTACATTGCCTTTCCTAATTTATTCAGGAGTAGCTGCCTAGCATAAGCAAATGGAGGAACAGAAAGTACTTAATGGACATCTAGTGATAATGAAACAAACACAATACATTCAGAAAAGCAAAGAAAAAAACCCCAAGCTTTTACATTTGAACTGCTGAATACAGTTTTAATAATCCGTTCACTCCACCAAGGTGATCTCCTCAAGATCTTCTAGTTCAGATACTATATTCACCAAAGCAGGATAAAACTAACCCGCCGTGGCCAAGGGGCAAAGAAGCTCCAAAGAAAGGAAAGTGACTGTCCCCTTTTGGGCATGACAAGCATGGCTCTGTCCTCTCATGGAACCACACTCCTATTTATGTGTGGTGTGATTTACACCCCTAACTCAGCAGGACTTAGAAATACACAGTCTTCCCAGGAGGGGCTGTAGGCACTCACAATTGTTCTCTATTATTACCTGCACTTGAAAGATTTCTGTGTATTACATTACACACTACAGCCAAAGTACTTCAGTTCTCAAAGACATCTAGTGCCTGCGGCTTTTCTGTGCCAATGCAAGGTAGTTTAAAGTATATCTATGAATTCAAGAGCTAGATAAGGTCTTGTAGAGACATACACTCCAGCTCTCTCAAAAAACCTTTGCCACTCTGAGTTCTGACCCTCTAGAAGAGTGAGCTAGCACTCAAGGCTGGAGTTCCAGCACACCACGTACTGCCCTATGAACAAGAGAGTAACTCGAGTCTTAGTCCTGCACAGGAGCATGTCACAGCCAAGCCCTTTCACAACAACGTCAGGTGAACAGTTGCTACCACACTGTTTCTCACAACCAGCAAGTTAAAGCTACTGGCAAATAGCACCTAACTTTTCCACAGCCAGCATCTTGGGCAGGCACTGGCCATGAAAAGCACTCACAAGCAGCACAGCTTCATAGCAGTTAAATACATCCAACACCACAATCTCACAAAATAATTTCTTTTTAAGGACCTGTTATTTTAAAGCATCTTGTATATGTTTATATGCAGCTGGTGCCTTTTTTAAGGTAGGGGTCACATCAACACAAAAAACATACACAGGGCAAGGGAGAGTGGATCTTTACACCAGTTAAGATATCAAGTGAGCTCATACAAACTCTAAGTTTATAGGCCATGTTTTTATGGACAGATGTAGAGATGTGGGCATAAAACAGTTAAGGGCACTTTGTAGTCTGCAAGGAAATTAGACGCTGGCGTAGACTGCTTCGCACATTGCAAATGCATCCTGGATCCACTACTATCAATTAACTGTTGTCCCTTTAGTCACTGTAGAGCTCTCTACAGATAGGTGTACTAATTGCTGTCTTTCCGCCGAGATCTTTTACCACTGCAGCAGCCCCACACACAAGCTCTCTTATGGAAGGAAAAAGACTTGTACCTCTTGGATCATCTCTTGCCAATGCTCTAACCACCAGGACTATGGAAATAATGAAAAGCTTCTTTCCTTTTTAACTCTGTCTTTAAACAGTAAAACCCTAACAATCTGCATTCACATCATCCCCAAAGATTCATACTGTCTTCGTGGCTCCTGAACTGGAGTTCACCATACAATTAGGCATCACCCTGCACAGCTAGTTTGGGAAGAGGTAATCAAATCCTGCATCCTTACCAGTTTTTCCTCACCAGTATTTAGAAGCTCCTGCCATAACCTTAAGCAACACAGCTGGGGATAAAAAGCCCTGATAAATCCTTTGCCACCATCCCACATTACCATATCTCCCTGGCTTCTAGTCATGTTTGCCTACTCAGTTGCTATGCTGATGTGACAGAAAGAAGACAAAGCAGAAGTGCTAGTTGATGTCGAACATGGCAGCAGACCAAGAAAAAACAAGCATGCAAACATTTTTTTATTCCCTTTCTACCCCCCCCCCCCCGAATTTATAAAGGGATGTGATCTATTAGCATTCAGCAGTAGGGATTTGGGTTTTTTTCAGGGAGTCATATACAATCAAGACCCAGAACAACATTAATCATAAAATTTGTCATAGAAATATTAATAATGACATGCATTTGTCAGAAGTCTGACCAAATTCCTACTTCAGTTCACTCAGACTTCAGAAAATAGAAAAACATAACTCCCTCCCTTTTTAATACAGTACTTAGATCACAAGATCATTCTTGCCTGGCATCAGTGTTCAGGTACAAAATTATTTGACCTGGAATTGGAAATAGCTGCAATTACTTTCCCTGATATAGAAAAAGCCCTCAGATTTCTGGATTTTTTATTAGAGGGATTCAGCAGATCTCTACAGAAGCAGTGCCAGATTGCATGATGGAGAGGTCCTACTTAGGAAGGAGATACATACATAACACGGCTACTAGCACTCACACCCCCAAGGAACTGATGGAAGATTTTGATAAAGCTGGCCTCACCATGACATCTACGGCTTTTGAACAATTTGGCAGATTAAAACACTATCTGAAGCACTGTTCAGCACTACAGATCAGCAATGCTGATCTCATTGAGCAGTTCAGCATCTTCCAGCAGCTCTCTGTTCATTCACAGATAAACAAGTAGCTCTTAAGTGCTCCATCAACCAGTACCTGAGATCCAGCTCAAGGAATCACCTTAAGCAGACTCTTGGTTGCATTAGTGGCTGAAGGTATAGGTCTGCAGAATTTAACTTAGCACAGAGCTGATGATCATCTACAGAATTTATATAAAACTATAAAAATTATTACAAAGAAATAAAACCTAAGCACTGCATTCATTACAGTAGAGGGGGGAGGAATCTATTCACGCTTACAAACTTTTTCTCAAAATCAGTAATCAAATGAAGTTAGTCACAAGTCTCCTAATAAAGATGAAGTTATCTGATCTGCTAAGTCACAGCATACCATTCACAGTAGCAGTACACAACCCAGCTAGAAAGTATGCTGGTCATTCCTCCATTGCGTGACATTTTACATGCTTCACACAGATAACTTAGTTAACTTTCACTGGCATACAAAATGCATTCAATAATGATCCAAAAATGTAAGATATTATTTAGCAAGCAAACACCTTCTAAGTCTTAAGCA